GATGGTCTGGACAGGAAGTGCCAAACTGTAGCCCGGTAGCTCTGACTGGTTGTTCCATAGAGGAAAGAATGTAGTATCATAGAAGTTTACAGATTCCCAGTCAAGTCTTAACTGAAACTGCCCTGGCTCTTTGGTCTCTTTGTCCCTTCAGGCTTGGGAAATCTGTCCCAAGTGTGCAGCAGGAACAGTAAGATTTGCCTCTGTTTTTGCTGGCCTCTTGACCCTTCTGTACTTGTCATCACATTTCTCTGTGGCTCTGGTTAGCTATAGACAGGTCTATACTTTGCTCACAGGACCTGTGGCGGATCCGGAGCCCCTGTGGTGACTGTGAAGGCTTTGATGTGCACATCATGGATGACATGATTAAGGTAAGTATGGCACTGTCCAACTCATCCTTTCCACATGGCCCCAGTCCTGGCTTGGGTGGCAGAGGAGTGTGCAGAGAGCTTTTCTCTTTCGGGCAGAAGTCACATGTGCTGCCTGTTCTTGGCCCTGTGCTACAACCTCTGATTCAAAATCTTGGGCCAGGGTCTATATGTACATCACCACACCATTGAAACTGTTCCTACTAATGTCAACAGCTTGTTTCTGTTGGGGCAGCCTTCCTGCAAGGCAGTTGGGTAACTTGTGGCATTTTCATTTGGGGGTTACTTTCTAGGGGAGAGCGCTTGAGCATGGGGAGCGTGTGCAAGGAGGTCCATCCTGCAGTGTTGTGAAGTGTAGCCCTGTGGTGTGTATATTGTACTTTTGTACTTTCCCAGTGCAGTGTATAGTAGATGTTGGCAACACCCTGAATGTCCAACAGTGGTGGGTGACCACCAGGGTCTGTCATGACAACCACACTGGTATGTGTCTCTGTGAAGTTTGATCTGAAGAGTTGTGACATGTTTACACATCCACACAAGGATGTCATGGTCCTATTTTTATGATTAAAAAATTCACATTTACGTACAGAGAGAAGAAGGTGAAATAGTGGGCACTGCTGTGTTAGCTGTGCAATCAGAGAGTGGAGACCTTCCCCCCTTGTGCTTATCTTTCAGTTAACATTTTTGTATGTGAACATGGATTGCTGTATAAACATATTTTAAGCAAATAAATCCTGTGGGTATTTTCCATTTATATCTCACCTTCCCTTCCCTAGAAGTCTACTGATTATCCATGCTTCTAGAAATTTCATTTTTAATAAATCTCCTTTGTGCCAAGAAACTGCATGCATAATCTCTGGATCCCTCTGCTGTCTCTGGTTACTCCTGAGATTCCTTCCTAAGCACCCACCACCCTGCCTGTCATCTGAAGTGTCACATATTCTGTGTCTTGCTTTGGTCCCTGCTCCTGATTCTGCCTACCTGTGCTGTCCCCTGTCCCCTTTGTAGCTGATAAGGCTCTGCCACTCTGGTGTCTGGTCAGTATCTGCCTCCCTCCCCACCTTCTCTGATTGGAATTTAACCTTTATTTTTTATTTATTTGTTTTTTATGTGGGGCTAAGGATCAAACCCAGTGCCTCACCTATGCTAAGCAAGTGCTCTACCACTGAGCTGCAACTCCAGCCTAGTGTCTGTGTCTCTCTCTTGCATGCAGACCAGATAGCTGAGAGTGGCAGACATCTCCATTAGACTTGTACTGCCCCAGCCCCAGTGCATCTGCCCTTCTGCCCTCAGCCCAGCGCCTTCCAGTGCTCCTACCTAAGACCTGGCATCTCTTCAGGGACATCTTCCTTCCCAACTTGCAGTTGTTTGTTTGATTCCTAGGGAGCCTCCAATCCATTTTTTTCCCCATACTGCTGTAGATTCTGTCAGGGCCCCTTTGGGCTACAGCTTCCTGCTGCTCCTGCTTCCTCTACCTGGAGCCCATGTAGATCCTGAAGCTGGCCATGTTCCCTCTCTGGGAAAGGCCTGTCCCCAAGCCCTCCAAAGTAACCTGGGGCTGCTCCTGCCTCCTTTCCCTGCTTGGTTCTTGTTCAGCCATCCCCTCTCCTGACCATGCTCCTATTTGAGTTATCTCCTCCAGACAGTTTCCCTGTCCCACTTCTGTCCACCCCAGCACCACTCCCACCCAGATGCCAATGCTTTCTCAGGCACTGGGCCTGCTTGCTTACATGTTCATTTCTCCCCATCCCAGCCTCTGAGCCTCCTGTCAGTGATCTCACAGTTTTAGTGGTCAGTATCAGTGAACAGGTAAGTGTCTAAGCACCAGATGTTTCACCAACATAGACATTTGGTCCACAGAATAGCTCAAGAGTAGGCATTGTCCTCACAGGTAAAAGGGTAGAAACTGAGGCTTAGAGAAGTGAAGTGAGCCAGCCAGTGAGTGGGCAGGGAAGGGAGAGCGAGAAGCCAACTGACCAGGTGCCTGGTGATGTTCTGTGAGAACATGCTGCTCCATGTGGCTGCAGTTTTCCTCAGGGACTGGGCTATAGAGTTGAGAGGGCCCCTGGCATGAATCCTGGAGAGTCCCTCTGGCTCTAAGCTCGGCTCTACCTGCCCTTCCCCATTTCCTTCTCTCAGTCTGCCCTGGATTTCCGAGAGAGCAAAGAGGCAGAGCCCCACCCACTGTGGGAATACCCTTGCCGCAGCCTCTCAGAACCCCAGAGGCTCCTGACCTTTGATTTTCGGCAGCCGGTTCCCCAGCAGCCTGTGTGTGCTGAGGGCTCCATGGAGCTGAGGAGGTGAGTGGAGACTTTGGGAGGGTATTGGGGTGGAGGAAGTAGGGGCTGCTTTCCCTCTAGCAGTTACTGCCCATATAGCAAAGTACAGCTTGCCTGGGAGACACTTCTGGCCTGTGGCATGTCCTCATCTCATCCTTGCCCTTCTTGCATGTATGGTGGGTCCCACAGCCTCAGGGAGGAGGACTCCAAGTGGGCCTTCCTCATACCCCTATCTGAGCTCCCCTGTGGGATCAACTACAGAGAAATGAGAGCTTGGTTGCTATGGTTACCCACTGGACTATTTTCCTGAACTCTCCTGGGATTAAAGCAGGTTAGGATTGGTGAGAGCTGCTTTCTGTGAGCCTGAGAGACCCTACCCAGCTCCAGCTTCCTTCATGTAGAAGAGTGCCTCCTAATACTTGCGGAAGCCCTGAGGCCAGAGCTCCCAGGGCTCTGTGCACCAGGTGACAGCACAGGCAGGCAGGACTGATGCCTGGCTGTCTTCCAGTGTACCTGGGAGGAGCCTGGCTCTATACCACTGGTCCTCTGCCTGTAGGGGCTGACCTGCAGCACACAGCTCTGCCCTGCTGTGATTCTGAGTGCTTGGCTAGGTGCAAGGAATGAAGGGGAATCTGAGCTGCGGCTGCTCTTGCTATGCTTTTTATGTGTGGCCTTTATTTAGGTGGGGTGTGGAGAGTTAGGAGCTCCGAACTGGATGGGATGGGAATGGTAAAGACCAGGCATTTCAGGAAAGCAGAGGGGAGCCTGGCTTATACTCCCCAATTTCTATGTGACTCTCTGTTTGACCCATCACTACAGGCCTGGGAGAAGTCATGGGATTGTCCTATGGATGGAATACCACCTGACACCAGACAGCACTGTTAGCACTGGCCTTCTGGAGCCTGTCGAAGACAAGGTAGTGCCGTATGCACCAAACTCAGAGTGTGCCGACCCCCCCTTGTGCTCTGGGTATTCCTGTTCTGTGTTCTTAAAGCCAGATAGCTACTCAGTGGTCATCTGGCCCCCTAAGCAGTTTTGTTTTTTTCCCCCACTGCAAGCTTCTGGGCTGGAGGCTGACCAGGAAGGTGGTTCTGGTGCCAGGGACCTTCTCCATCTCTTGATGCTCTTCCTACAGGGGAACTGTTGCTGGAACCCCCACTGCAAGCAGGCCGTGTACTTTCTCAGCCCCACACTGGATCCTAGAGTGCCGCTGCTGGGCAGCCCTCGGGCAGTCACCTATACTGTGGAGTTTCACCCCAACACCGGAGATATCACCATGGAGTTCAAACTTACAGACATACCAGATTGACCCCTACTCGTTGAAATAAAGTGGTCTTAAGGCTGTGGGCTCTGAATGGGTTGTGGCTTTTGCGTGGAAGGGAGGTTGAAGGTGCTTGTCTACTTCAAGGGACCTGCTTGTCCTTGGCACAGAGGGGACATTGTCTGTTTTTGCAGCTTTGCGCTGCTGGCTTCCAGCTCCAGGCATGACAGGCAGTATGGGCCAGTATTTGAAGCCATGGAAAGGCCAGAGAAGCTACCCTGTTTGTGGTCCTGAGCACTCAGAAGGTTCTGGCGCAGTGATGTCTCCTGCCCTGCCTACAATGGCATAGAGGCACAGGGCCCTCTTAGCCAGGCACTGCTCCTAGAGCAGCCTGCCTAGCCTATCTGCTTTCTGGGGTTTCCAGGTCCCTGCCCATCTGGCTTCACTAGGAGAGCCTTCAAGGGAGTGGAGATGCTGAGCTGAGCTGTGGCTGGGCTCCTGGGGCTTGAAGATCCTAGTGGAATCAAGGTTGAGAGGACTGGGTTCTGGCCCTTTCTGCACTGGGTAGTTGCATAAAGTTATATCCATAGGTACCTGGGCATCTGGCTTCAGTACATATCGGCAGATGGCCTGCCAATCCCCAAGACCCATATCAGAGAAGAGACTGTCTCAGAGCAGTTCCTGAAGGGCAGCCCTGGGAAATCAGCCATCAGGAAGGAGAGCCAGGAAGTGCAGCCCTTTCCCATGTGCCCCTTTGTATCTATTGGAATGCTTCTGCCACCCCCTCAAAAGTGGAGCAGATGGAGTGTGTGTGGTACAGATCACCCCAGCTCTGCTTCAGCAGGGACAGCCAGCAGTGCCTGCAGAGGCTTTCCCCACACACTCCGCATGCCCTTTCGCTCTTGACCTTTAGTTCTCAAAGAAAGTGGGAGACATCCAAGAGAACCCAGATGACCTGGGGACCTGGCATTTGGAAGCAGACTTGAGTTGTGTCCCCATAGTCATCTCTCCTTGCCCCAGGCTGCCCAATCCCCAGGTCTGGAGCCTGCAGGGTCTGCTTCGGCTTGTCACTCAAATAAGTACAGAACACCAGCCTTGAGCCTCACAGTTTTATTTTCTCCTCATTCTCCATCCTTCCTTTCAGCACCATAAAGGAAAAAAACCACCTCTCTTTTCAAAATATTTTATCAGGTGTAAAGATTGTTTTTCTTCTAGGGAAGAATCGTCTGGATATATAGTTGATAATGTTTTTACCAAAACCTTAGGTGTCTTACCATATAAAACCCCTAATGTCCCATGAGGATACAATACAGAAAAAAATACAGAAATTAAAAAAGTTTTTTTTCTTCTTTTTAAAACAGTATTTCTAAATCTCAGCAAGTTAATACAATAGTTAAAAAGCATCAAGGTTAATATTCATACCTAAAACTCAAGGTGGTTTTTGGACAAATGAAAATGAACATTTCCTTCCTAAGCTGTTCCCACCTGCCTCATAGCTTCCCTTGAGATCTGGGTGATCCCTGTGACCACCTCCTCCCAGGCCTTAGATGCCACAGAATCTAAGATCTTGGCAATGTTTTGTTTCTTTTTTAAAAAAATCAAAGTGGAAAAGCCTGGCTGTCACAAGCCCTGAGAGCCACAGGCACTCTGCCATGAAATGGCTGGCAGGTGGTCTGAGCTTCAGCACTGAGGGAGGTGTGAGGGGATCAGGGAGGCAGGATGTCCCTCCTCTGGATGTCAGGACCTAAGCAGACAGAGGCCACCTTGGGATGACAGAAAATGACTGAGGCACAGGGCTGTGTGACTTGCCTAAGGCCACCCTGGGAGTTGGGAGGGAGAAAAGCATGTGGCCCTGACTCCACACTGCCCTCACCCTCAGGGACATAAACTGCTAGAGTCTGGTTTAGGGGCCTAGCCTTGGCTGGGCTGCTCTCCCTGTGTGCACGCAGCTTAGGTCCTGGGGTTGGCCCTGCCCAGGCAAACCTTGCATGTGTATTTGGTTGCTCCCAAGAGTGGAGGACTTTCTACTCCATAAAACCTCAGCAAGGCCCTGGGAGGCCAGGCCCTTGCAGGGTAGGGGCAGGGCAGAGAGCCCAGGCAGGACTGCCCTTGCATGAGCAGTTGCTTCCTGGCTCTGGGCTTGCAGGGATGGGACAGGAGGCCTGGGTAGGGGAAGTTCTTCCCAGACCAGGTGGTCAACCAGATCGAGTGTCACTGTGGATGGATGTCCCAGCGCCAAGCTGCCCAGGCTCTGCAGGAATCTTCCTCCCCAGCAGAGGGCCTGGCATCTGGCTGGCTGTTTGCCCCTTCTAGGCCTCTCTTGCTGCTCAGAGGGTGACAAGGCACAGCTTCAGTGCACCAGCACCAGGAAGTCCAGACAGCAGGGTCCTGGTGCTGCCTCCAGCCTTGCCAGGCAAAGCTGGCTACAAGATCAGGGAACTTCAAGACCAGTGGGAATTTTCAAAAACAGTCCCTCAGGTTGGAGCCTGGCACCTTGAAACAGAAGCCTTCCTGTGTGACTGGGGAATGGCCCCTGCTGTCTAAAGGCAGGTGGCAAGAGGCAGTGCTTCTGTGGGGCCTGAGCAGCTGCAGGCCTCCTCCCCAGGCCCAAGGCAGATAGGGGACAGTGGGCTGCTGGCCAGCTCTGCTGTACCAAGCCTGGGGTTGACCCTGGTTGCACAATGGCAGAGTGGCTTGTGTATGCCTGGATGCCAGCCAGTACAACTCCCTTCCCCAAGCCAGCAGTGGCCTGACCACCCTAGCCTGCACACCAGTGAGGAACAGGTTGCTCTCCACACCTTGGCCTCCTGCCCCTCGATCCAGGGTGCCCCAGAGCCATGACATTGGCTGGGGGCACTGTAGTGGATGGGCCTGGGCCTGGGAGGTCAGAGATGCAACCCCCCTGGGGGGCAGGCAGGCTTTTCCTGAGCTCAGCCGCATGTGGATAGGGAAAGTCCCCAGGGAAGGATTGGTCCCGAACCAGAGAGGTGTCTGGAGGGAAGCAAGGGGCTGCAGAAGAAAGAAGAGGACATGTTGGCTTTGATAGAAGAGAAGAAGCTACAAATCTTGTCATTTTCAAAAGCAGGCCCCCACCCCTGTATGCTGTTGAGTCCCCTTTCTGTTAAAAAAAAAAAAAAAAAAGTGATGCCCTCTTGGATTTCTACTTATGGCTCCATAACACAGATTGGAGACTCCTGGAGGAGGCACCTGTTGGCCGGAGCCAGCTGGACCCTGGTGTGTCTGGGCTGGGGAAGGGACCCTGTATTGGGAAGAGCAAAGTTCTACCTAGCAACGTGCAGACCCTTTAAAGTGAAGGGTGATTTTGTTTTAACTCTTTATGTTTTCTTTTTAAAATGTAATCGCCCTTGAATGCAAGACCCTGGGAAAAGCCCTGGGCTGGCTAGTAAGGACACAGCCCTCACGTCCCGCAGCACAGTCGGCTGGTGGTGGAAGGCTGGTGGCCGTGCCCAGGAAGTGCTTCTTTGGCTGGTTCTGATTGTGTTTGGAGTTTGGCCTTGGGTGAGGCCTGAGCAGGGGGTCTGGGTGGCTACAGTGTGGCATGTGGCATGCGGGCAGCGTGCATGCGAGGGTGCAGGCATGCGAGACAACATGGGCAGCAGACAAAAGTAATGAACCCTGGACGAAACTTGAGAAGAGATACAGAGAGTACATAACCCAGTCCTCCTACTAACCCTCGGCTCACAAACTAGGTTGTGCTGTAGATCTGTAGAAAATCATGTTTGGAAAGAATGGCACTGGTTAGGCAGCCAGGGGCTCCTGGGCTGGCCTAAGTCCTCTGTCCTTGGAGGGGCCCAGAGGCACAGAGCAGCGCTGCTTCCAGGCTCCCCAGGGACTGACAGGGGCTCCTTCCCTGTCCCCTACCCTCCTCCCCCCAGCACTGGGCACTCAATGGAGGGGACATGGCCCAGGGATGGGCTACGGCTCAAAGGGCTGACAGAGGCCCTGCTGCTCCAGATGCCGGCAAGTTAGCTGGTCTACGCCTCCTCCTCCCCTGCAGACACCATCAGCCGCATGGCCACCGGAAGGTGGTCCGTCAGGCCAGACAGTTGAGTGATAAAACTGAATTCTTCCACTTCCTGAGTTGGGGGGAGGAAGAGAGGAAGCATTCTGATTAGTCCCAAAGGACATCCTGAAAATGAGGGGCCTGGGGGCAGAAGATGGCAACCTCGGGGTCCCTGAATGTGGCCTCCAGGCTGGGGTTGTGCAAATGGGGCCTAACGGTCTGAGGGAATCACAGCTCTCATTTTAAAAGAGCATGGACTGGGGGTGGGGTCCGAAGAGAGCCTCAGTGCTGTTGAGGGCTGCGGGGCCTGTCCCCAACTCACGGCCTTCCAGTCGGGGCACAGCCCCTCCTCGGCATGCAGCATGTAGTCGATGCGACGTCCATTGCCCTTTAGCAGGTCCTTCCGCCCCTTCTGACCAGACCCGGAACTCTTGCTAGTGGGAAAAGCCAGGTACTCCCTGCGGCCTTCCTCGCTCTCCAGGACCCTGTTGATGGACAGGAATCAAGGTGAGGTTCCCACACCTCCTCCTCCCCTGCAGACACCATCAGGAACTTGCAGGCCCGGTGTTCTCTTTCTAAAGTGAGAGAGGAGTAGGTCAGACCAAACTTCTGGCTCAAGTTCTGTCTTCTCTGTCGCTCCACAAAAGACACAGGCTGCAGGGAAGCCAAGACAGAGCCTGTTGAGTTTCTGGCTGAGTGGGGCCCTCTGGGATCTGTCACAGGCTGTCCTGTGCCCATCTCGAGCTGGCCAGTCTTGCTGTCCCATCTGAACTCCGATGTTGATCTCGGTACTCTCCTGGCTGTAGTCAGGTTGGGCCCCTACTTGCTCTCCAGAAGGGTCTTCTGCTCCAAGTCAATACAGACCCTTTTGGGGAACGTGGTCTTTGCCACAAGCTTCAGGGACCTGTCTTTCCTGGAAGCCTCTGTTCCTCCCACCCCATGACTATTTCAGGTGGCAGGAAGCTGAGGGAGACAGGAGAGTACCAGGCCCCATCAGAAGACTCAACTTATATGGATCTGTCTCTAAGCAACAGTGCTATCCAGATTATGTCCCCAGACCCATGAGCCTCAATTTCCTCCTCTGTGAAGCAAGAATGGTTGCCGTGAATCCGAGATGCTTGGGGAAGCTCACTGCGTGCTTAAGGGAGGACAGGCAAGTGGGGTGGGACCCACTTGGTTCTGGGTCTTCTGATCCCTTCCTGGCATCTTTGCCCTAGAGAGCAGGGTGCCCGGCTCCTTCCTTGCAGCCTTTCCCCTGGAGCCTGAACAGGTGGCTTAGTATCACTTAGTATCACTTAGTATCACTCTGGGACTTCCTGTTGCAGAAGGCAGGCTCAGGCCAGGGGCCGGAGTAGGAGACACTGCTCAGGCTGCCAGATGGTTAATGCCTGGACACACTGAAAGGGTGCCTGGAAATGTTGGGCCAGCTAATGGGTTTCTACCAGGTTTTTATCAGCCTTAAGATAAATACGCTAATGACATTCAGAACATTGTTTCGTCTCAGAGATACAATCCATTACTGTCCTTTGCCTTTGATAATTAATTCCAGCATCAATGATCTGAGAGTTACTGATAGTCATTTTTTAATCATCATCTCATAAAAAGATAATTTTCTCAGCATAGGATGATGTTTCAAATTTAGTCTATAATCTAATTAATTGGCTCAAATTAGCTGCTAGGAGCCACCGCCATGGCTCTGTGCAGGCTCGGGCTGTGAATTATAAATCAGTTCTGCTGTTGGCCTCTCCGACGTCTCCTTTATGGAAGCTTCACTGGGTTCAAAAACGAAGCTTGGCTGGGATGTGACTGTGTCTACTTGGAGGGTAACTGACTTGTGTTCTCTGCTCATGTTTTCATTTGCCTAATTCATGCTACAAACTGCTAGTTCCCTTCTTCAGACACCTTACCTAGCTGCTCTGCTATAGGGGTGGGCCTATGGCCAGGCCCTGGAAAGTGCTGGTTCCTTTTCCCATACCAGCAGGGCCCCACGGCAGGCTGGGCCTGGGGCAGAATGAGTCCTTAAAACAGGAGGCCAGACTCTGGCTGCCGGTTTAGGAAACATCCCCTAGAGACCCCAGAGTCTTCACCCAGCTCTGAGCTTCTCAACAAGGCTAGTCCTGGAGTGTCAGGGCCTGAGGGCAGCAATAGGCTTCCAGCTTCTAGCTGAGACCCTGAGGCTGTCAACAGTAGGGGCAGATTCTCACAGAAGGAAACCCCTCACTGGCCTGAGCCAAGGCGGCTCTCCAGGCTCCTGCCAGCCTCATCTCCCTACCACCTAAGTCAGGACCTCAGGGTCTCATAGACCTGGGAGGTGGTCGGGATGGGGTCCCACCAGCAGCAGCGTGGATACTTACTTTTGCAGATTGTCAGGGGTGCACACATCCTCATCGTAGAGGCCATTTGTGTCCAGCAAGGTACCTGGAGACAATGTCAAGTGTAGTCACTGGTCAGTGCAGGCAGGGTTCAGTCAGGCCTAATGGGCTGGCCTCTGTGGGTTGCGGTAAACAGGGTGCACCAAGACGGGGGCCTGTCCCCAGCAGGGGGGCCTTGTGGCGGGGTCCTAGTGATCATTCCTTAGGAAACCTGGGACCCCAGCACCCAGCCAGCTCTGACCCCAAGCCCCACTCACCAATGGCCCACGGCTTCTCCTCCCCAGGCCCCAGGCGGCATGGGTCCTTGTAGCGTGTAAACAGGGAGTGCTGCTGCTCCAGCTTGTCATCTGTGTGGAGAGGAACAGGGAGGAAATGCTGTGGGGTTATCAGCTGTTCTGGGGGGCCTGCTCTTCTTGGTTCCTGTCACTGATTCCTACCAGATGCTGCCAGGTCGCTGTCCTTTAGGTCACCTTTAGGCCACCTTTTGTCACTGGTTTTCTGTGTCCTTGAGAACTACCCCATCCCCCACCCCATAACACTCACCTTAGACTTCAAGTTCCCTATCTGAGGTCAGAGGTCATTGTCCCTCTTGGGCTCCAGGAGACAGTGACCTCAAGACCTTCCCAGATCCTACTGCCAACTCTTGTGGGGGGCTGGCTAATGCTGCCCCTGCCGGGACTCCTGGCCTCTTCACAGATTGAGTGCCTGGCCCTGAGGGAGGAGTGGACTCCACAGGTTCAGAAAGGGAGGGACTTGCCTGGGGTTCCCATTTGTCCTGCCAACTCATAGAGTCAGAAAGGCCTTTCAGCGACACCTGGGAGGGAAGACCCTGAGTGGGGTCTGGCTAGGTGGGATTCACTCCTCCAAGAAGGCCTGTTGTTGTTAGGGATTGAACTCAGAGACACCACTGAGCTACATCTACAGAGCCCTTTTTATTTTTTATTTTGAGACAAGTTCTCACTAAGTTGCTGAACTTGTTATCCTTCTGCCTTGCTGGGATTGCAGGCGTGAGCTTTTTGGTAGTGGGGATTGAACTCAGGGGGGCACTGAACCACATCCCCAACCATTTTTTTATACTTTATTTTTTTTCAGTAGGTTAGGTGTATTAAATGCATTTTATTTACATTATTTTCAACTTACAATGGGTTTATCCAGGTACAAACTATCCTAAGTTGAAGAGCGTGTATACCACTTTAGGACAGTCAAATAGTCACAGTGTTGTGGCCTTTGGGTTACACTTTGGGTATCACTTCCCAAGAAAACCTAGATGCCAGGCAATGAAACTAGCAACCTCTAAACCATTAGGTCTAAGGCAAAAGAAAAGCGTCAAATAGAGCTATAACAGGCAAGACCGCCTCCAGGTAGGCAACATCTGCACCCTGGTCTGCTGCCACCCAGTTCTGGCTCAGTGAAAGGCCAGATACACAGAGCAGCTCCACCAATGTCCCCAGAATTGTTAAGGTAGTACATAATTTGGTTTTAGAGACCTGATCCATTGTGGTGTTTGTCACCTAAAAAGTCATATACTTTATTTAGAGACAGGGTCTCACTGAGTTTTTAGGACCTTGCTAAGTTGCTGAGGCTGGCTTTGAACTCATGATCCTCCTGTCTCAGCCTCCTTACAGGCATGTGCCACTGCACCCAGCTTGAAAGCCTCTTCTTTTGTGTGCTGGGTCTCCACTGTGACTCAGGAAGATCTCAGGAGCACTCCAGTTTGGAGTTGGCTACAAGCATGTGACTAAGACAGGGGACCACAGGGACTGGGTGCTGGGGCAGGAGCTGCTGTACTGGGGATGACAGCCCCACTGCCCCACAAAGCACCCGTGGAAGATGGTTCCTTTCAGCAAGCTGGCGATTACGTGTTTTATGGTGGGACCCCACTCTCCCTGCTCAACCTGGAGCTCCCACTGTCGTCAGGAGCTGGCTCCTTGGCCAAAAGAGATTTAAACAGCTACCATCTGCTGTCCCCAACTGAGGGCACCACCCTGTGCTCTCAGTGAGACCTTTGGGTTTCCTGCCTCGCTGAGGATGAGGCTGGAGCTCAGACCGCATGTAATTACACCCATCCTCAATTTGCTTTGGGAGCTGTGGCTGGTACAGGGGTGACAGTCAGTAAGGGTTCCAGGCCGAGGGAGGCTTAGAGCTGCTCAAATCTCTTGTTGGTCCTTATAAAATTAAAAAAATATATATCTACATATTTTTTTTTGGTTGTACTGGGGATTGAATCCAGGAGCACTCTACCACTGAACCACAGCCTGTTTTTAAAATTTTTTTATTTTGAGATAGTTCTAAGTTGCTGAAGGTCTTGCTAAGTTGCTGAGGCTGGCCTTGAACTTTCCATCCTACCTCAGGATCCCAGGTTGCTGGGATTATAGGCATGTGCTACCATGGCTGGCAAGATCAATTTTTTGTTTAAATCAATTATTTAGAATTTCACAGTTGATGAACTTGGAATCTTTTAGTTTAAAAGTTTAATGCATGATGCCCACTATTCAAATTCCAGCTCAACCACTTACTGGCTATGTGACCTTGAGCTAATTATTTAACTTCTCTGAGTCCCAACTTCCTTTTCTACACCAGGTGGAGAAATAAAGCACCTTCCTCTTAGGATTGTTAAGAACCTTAAATGAAATGGCAGTTAGAGCTGAGCCTGGTGGCTCATGCCTGTAATCCCAGTGACTCAGGAGGCTGAAGCAGGAGGATCCTAAGTTCAAGGATCCTAAGTTCAAGGCCAGCTTCGGCAACTTACTAAGAAACTTAGTGAGATCCTAAGCAATTTAGAGAGATCCTGTTTCAAAATAAAAAATAAAAAGGACTGGGGATGTAGCTCAGTGGTATAGTGCCCCTGGGCTCCATCCAACAGAGAAAAAGAGAGGGAGTGATGCGGGTGAGGGGAGAGGTGAGAAATAGAAATTAGAATCCCACCTGGTTCAAAGTAAGTGCTGAATGTATGCTATCATATTATTCACTAACTCTCCCTGAGTCCGAGTTTCAGAGGCCTTGAGCCTCCCTTGTCACAGGTTTGTTTTTAGGGCATTGCTTTTTCTCCTGCCAGCAGCCTCTGAGCTTTCGAGGTAGAGCGTGAGTTTCCTGTTCTAGGATTTCTTGGGGGCAGAGACATCATAGTCTTGCTAAATTTCCTGCCCACGCTCTCAGGAGGAGCAGGAAGTTCTCTGAGCTGCCTAACTCAAGTCTTTCTAGCTGTGACTGAAGCCCACACCCTGCACTGCCCAGAGCAGCAGACCCAACTGCGGAGGGGACCTCACCAGAGGAACAGTTGTCAAAGTTCAAATCTCCGCAGATGACGTCAAACGCCACCAGCTCCTCGGGGTTGGCTGCGCTGGACGAGGAGGTAGATTTTCGGAAATCAGCCAGCCAGTCCTGAAGCAGATCCAGCTGCTCACACCGGATGGCACTGTCCTCTGCAGGTCAGACAGACATCGGATGATGAAGCTTTTGCGGGGGGCCCCAGCTAGGCCCCAGGCACCGATCCCACCCCCAGAAAACCATGGCCTGCAACCTACCTGGTGGGGCATGCAGGTGTGTGCAGGCGATGTACCCGACGATTCTTTGGTCCTGAGGTGTGCTTCCCACCTGCACCTGGGGGCCAGGGGAGGGAGGTGGGGGGGCAAGGTGTCAGTGCACACCCACCAGTTATCATTGCTTAGGGTACAAAGGAACCCTCTAGGTCAAACCCTCTGGAGCCCTGTTTTGTGCCAGGCTCCTGGTACTCTGGGGTCCGGGTAAGGACATGACATGTCCTGCTTCTAGGAGCTTAAGGCCAGGTGTGGGAGAAAGATGCATAAAGAAAACATCCACCCGTGGTGTCGGGTGCCCATGAGGATCTATGTAAGGCTTTATAGGGGCAAATACAGAATACACAGACAGGTTTCTCCCCAGTCCCTGCCATCTCCTGAGCACCCACCGACATGACCCTCAGTTCCTGTCCACTACATACATGTGGTGGCTCTGCCTCCCTCCCTCAGCCACATGCCAGACCTGATCCCATCTTTGTGCTTCTTCCCTCTGAACCTCAGGCCAGACACCCCTCCAGGCAGACCCAGCCTCAAAGCCTGCCCCACCCTCCACTCTGAGGGGCTAGAGACCCTGCCACCCTCCCACAGTCCTCACTCTCTACCCCTGTGGCTGCGTGGCAAGATGCTTCATCTGCTTTATAGGCCATGGTTCCCTGAGGTCCCTCGGTCTTGGATGAGAGCTCTGGCCTGTGTGTCCATGGCTCTGAGTCAGTTCTGGCCTGTGTTCCTGGGCTCTGGGCCCAAGATCCTGGGCTGCTCCTTCCTGCACAGTGGCCTCTTCATGCCTTCACATTCCACTCCACTTGGACCTCTGTCCTGGCCTCCTTGCTCACCTCCTTTATCAAGGACACAGCAAGTCTAAATGGGCTGGGGCAGAGGAGGCCATTCTGTCCACCCCTGCCCAATCTACACATGACCCTGGCAGGCTGTCTCCAAGTGTTAGCTTAATAAAACTGAACATCATAAAGATGACTCAAAATGGTCCCACCCCAGGTGGTAACCTTCAGCATAAGATGGGTCCCTGTGGTTGGGGCCAGCATGGGAGGGCCACAGAGAGATGCTTCCCGCCCCAAGTCTGAAGGCTCTTCAAGACTCTCTGAACATGCTACACCTGATGGAGGTCACTAGGGAAGAGTCCTTCGCGCAGATATTCCCCAAGGACTGGTGTGGGTACCTGTCCCTGGAGGCCTCTTTTGATCCTCGTCTTTCCAGCCACCTGCTCCAGGGGCCCAGTTGGCATCTGTCTCTCCTTTCACCGCTGAAGCTGGGTTGGTATCTTCTCCCCCATCTAGACTTTCTCATCAGCAAACCGCCCTACCTTTCTCCAGCTCCTCACCCATCTCCCAGCCTGCTGCCCATCTTCCCTTCTCTGGCACCCATAGGATGAGTGTCTGGCTATTTGAAAATGGGCTCGACAGCTGCGTAAAACGTGGCTGTTTCTAAACTTACGTGCTTGCCCTTCACTTCTTGCCCATACACCAGATCCAAACCCCACAGCATCCCCTGCCCCGAGAATGACTCTGTGAAGTCACGTGTCCTCGATGCCTCCTCTTGCAAAAGCACAGTGCGTTGTTAAACCACAGTGCTCCAACAGGGCACAGGATGGCACTGTCACCCCCACATTCCTCGGGGAACACTCCATGAGCACTTAGCACTTCTCACCCCAGCTGCAAGGTTGACACTGAATGTCTGCTCTTCTTATAGATGGACACACTGAGGCCCAGAGAAATTAAGCCATGGGTCAGGAGGCTCAGATGGGAAGGTGGGTGGTGGCCCACACACTGCTCTTCACTGCTTTCTGAGCCTCTGGTACCTCTGCCCGCTTCTTTCCAGCCACCTATTGTTTGTCTTAATGTGCCAGCCTCTCCCTTGCTCAGCACTTAGTGACACTTGCCCTGTGCTGAGTCCTATGTAGGGACAGGACATATGGGCAGAAAGGCATCTGACTCTGTCCTGTTGCCCTGAACCTGCCCAGAGGGAAGACACCAGCGCAACAGCAGGGCCACAACCGCCTGTCATACACCCTGCCTCTTCCTCTTAACCGGAGTGTGATCTTGCCAGGACCCACTTTATTATTTGCTGGGACTTATTGATTCCTGGCTCGTGTCCTCAGGAGCCACAGAGTCTTGTGTTTCTCTTGCAAAAACAAACAATCACACCGAGAGTCTGTGCCTTTTAGTCCTGGTGGGCAAAGACTGTCAACAGAAAAGGTGCCCAGAATTGGGCTCTGTCATACTGAGACAAGAGGAATTCCCGTCCCTTCCTTCACAGGAAGCTGCATTTTCCTAAAAGATCTGAAGTTCCAGAGTAAACTGTGTGTGCAGGCCTGGAGGAGGGAAGTGACAGAGGAAGGGAACGTGGTCAGCACCCTTCCTGTGTCCCTACCCCTTTTTCCTAGCCCTTGCATGTGCCAGGCACAAGCTCCACTCTCTAGGACAATGTCTGAGCCCTCAAGGCCACAATACAGCTGGGCATAGAGCTGAAGAGCACATGAAGGGAAGAGCCTGCTTGTGCCAGGCGTAGAGGCCCCTGGGGGAGTGGACAGAGCCCAGGCTTCGAGGAGAAACCCAGCGAAAAGGTGGACCTTCCCGAGGCAGTGGAACATGGCAAGGGGAGTCAGCTCTGGCAAGGGGGAGGAGGGGGCCCAGCTCCAGGAACTAGGCCAGACAGCTACAGCCACACTGGGCCAACACAGGAATGGAGCCCGGGCCAAGGTGGTAGGGTTGGAGACATAGGGTGGTGCCAGGGATGTTGGAAAGTAAAACGAAGAGCCTGGAACAGACAGGGTGGGCCCAAGGAGTGGCCCAAATGGCTTTTGGATAGTGGAACTAGGAGAGGGCAGCTCGGGGCAGATGCTGAGTTGGGTTCAGGGATGAATGGGATGTGTCCTGGAGGCAGTCAGATGCAGGGCTGGGTCTCCAGAGGAACATCTGGGCTGAGACAAAGCTGAGGGTCATCAGCAAGGGCAGAAATGGAAGCCATGGAGTCGCATTCCCTAGGGAAGGTACAGGTTTGGCTGTGGTTGTCCCGGCCCACAACCTGGGCTGTCAGTAGCTGTGCAAAATGTGGCAGGCTCATGCTGCCAGATCTGCCGTGGTGTCAAGAGAAGCTGCCACCTGGGTTTTATGTAAAATATCTTGATTTTTAAATATTTGTCAATTTAAAAAAAAAAGCTTTAATGACATGGACCAAATTAAACATATTTGTAGACCAGTTTGAGAGCCAGGAGGTAGAGAGAGACAAAAAGAACATTCAGCACAGAGCCACAAAGGAGGGGCTCTCCCAAGGAGACCATTGTTGACCTTGGTGGGAACAGTGGTCTGGGTACCAGACAAGGAGGGAAGTGAGGGGACATGTGGGTTGGCCTGCGCAGAAGTGGATGGTGGTGGAGAAGTGTCTCTGGCCTCAGAACCGTCAGTAATAGGGCAGAGTGTGAGGGCACACCCTCTTACCCCGAGTCTGACAATATATACCCTTCTTCCCCAGAAAGTCACTCTAGTTTCTGAGACAAAAATATACCCACAGAACAGAACACCAACGAACCATATGCCAGGATGGGAAAGCTGGATCTACTTGCCAGAGGAGTTTTCAGCATCTTTGACTGTGAATGAAGAGCCAGAGCCCCGACTCTGTCCTGGTGGAGCCGCACAAGAGACATGGAGCACCTGGAGGGGAGCCAGGGCTCTAAGGTGCCCGCCTGGCCCCATCAGACTCTGTGGAGACATCCGCCCTCACTCCTGCAGGGGACAGTTCACACACCAGCATTTTCCTGGACAGGCTGAGTGCGATGGTATTGAGATGGGAACTAAGAAGTAAGGGGACCCCACCTGCTCTGGGCCTCTGAGCCGTGCTCCTTCCTGCTGAGCGTCGATTTCTCACCTTAAAGGAGAGAACCAACACCCACAGCAGCTGCTGCCTCTGTTGGGGGCAAAAAGCCCTGTTCTACATCAGCTGGCCAAGTGATGCTTCAGAAAACTCTGGAAGCATCAAGAGTGACTTTTGGATAAAGAACAAAAAGTCAAAATTCTTTGCATCTCAGGCTCAGTGGAAGATAATGTTTAATGACCAAATTACCATGGTCTGAAAACTCCGACTGCATCCAAATTAGCAGAAATAATTATGATTCACTTTAATTAGTGACTATGGAAGCAAAGCCATGGGCTGGTGGGCAGAGAGCCTGGCCTGGCAGCTGCTGACAACCAGGAGGGAGGGCTATTCAAGCCAGTGAGGCTGGTGGTCTTGGTGAGCTGTACCCTTCATTTGCACTGGTCTCCGCCTCTTGTGAATGGAGCTGGGGCCTGTTTTCTCCTCTTCCTCCCCCATCGCTGCCATCATCACCATGGCCGTCATCACATGATCTACAGAGCGGCTCTGAATCCCTCCCAGGCCTCATCTCGATGGCTCACTCCCAGGCTGCCCCCATTATACAGACAGGGAAATGGTGGCTCAGAGATCTGATGAATTGATTCAGATCACCCAGAGAGTTTTGCCTGGATTTTGTCCCTATGTTTGTATTTCTCTTGTCACTGCACTGGTGACAAGGTTCAGTCCTATGAAAGATCTCGTCTGCCTCCCATTCATCCCCCAGAAGAGATGGAGGGAGGATGCCCAGCTGCAGCCCACCTCCCCACGTGGCTCGGGCATGGCTGGCATGTGGCCCTCAGGTTGGCCAAGGCCTCCTACCTTGAGAAACAGAGCTCCCTTAGAGGCCAGGGCATCGAAGCTGCGCCCGTTGGGGTAACAGTGATAGGCCACATCCATGACTGGGTAGCGGCTGGCAAAGAGGAGGCCGCTGTTGAGACACTTGAAGCTGCAGCAGCCGCGGCAGCCGTAGACCCCCACGTCATATAGGATGTACTCAAAGTAGCCATGCAGCTGCTCTTTCAACTTGGCGGCTGCCCGCTTGTCAAACACCTCCTGCAGGCACAGGAAGTCCAGGTTGGCGGGGAAGAAGGCCGAGACCTCATGGTCAAAGGCCTCGTCGGGGTGCCGCCTCCTGCGGGCGGCTTTCTTCACCACCGAGGCCTTGTACAGGAGCTTGCTGTTGGCACCAGGCTCCCCGGCGCCACCGCCATCCGGCCCAGCCCGAGCCTTCACCAGGGACTCCCTGGAGGCCGAGGGGCTGCCCAGGCTCCCCGAATCCCCATCCCGCTGATTGTGGTTGGGCGTCTGGCCCCTTGGGCCTCCACCAGCCCCATTCCTGGCTTGGCTCCCAGTGGCAGGGTCATCGCCTTCAGGTGGCCGGCCCCCCTCCTCGCCACCAATGCGCACAATGCAGGCGTCCTCCAGGTTGCCATCAGCTGGGTCCCCAGGGGCCGGGCCATTGGCAGCCTCGTCACCCGGGTGACGCCCGCCATCGCCCTTGTATTCCACAGAGGCTGTCCTTTTAATGCTCCCAGGAACAGCCCGGGCCCCGCCATCGCCGCCCTGTGGTGACACAAGGCTGCTGAAGCTGGCCGCACTGATGGAGGTGTTGGTGGGGGAATCAATGTAGATTTTGATCTGGGGCCGGGCCGCCCCATTGCGGATTCTCTGCCCGATCTCTTTGGCCCGCGCTTGGGTGTTGAAAAGGTTGTTGAGCCTGGCCAGCGAGTCGGGGAGGAGGCAGAGGTTGGCGGTGGCGAAGCAGAAGCTTTTGCCAGCCCCCGTGCCCTTCCATTCACCAAGCAGGGCTGCCCCGCCAGCCGGGCTCTTGTCTTCCAGCCGTGAGTAGATGTAGGGCCGGCGGGCAGACTGCAGGGGGGACCAGAAGAGAAACCCGAGAAAGGCGAAGGGCAGAGCGGCCACCAGGAGGGCCAGGTAGACAGGCGTGAAGAGGGCGGTGCAGAGCAGCTGCAGGCAACACGGGTCGTCTGCCCGCTGGCGCTTCTCGTAGGTGGTGGGTATGAAGGAGGCCGCCAGCCGGTCCACCAGCCAGTAACATGGGAAGATGAGGGCCCAGGACACAGCGTGCAGGGCGGACAGACAGCTATTGGGAAAGGGGGTCGTGTACAAAACCATCGCAGCTCACTGGGCACTGCGGCCGGCCCAACTACATGGTGTCCGTGGCAGCTGTGGCACTTTCCTGGGCAGGGGTGGGCACGTTGGGGGCAGCTGGAGGAGGGGTCACCTCCTTGAGAGATTCGACTCTAGAAGGCTAATGGCGAGTGCTGTCCGGCAGGTCATGGATCACCTCCGTGGGCCATGCTGGGTCATCGGGGCCTACGGAGAACCTGCAGAGACAGAAAGTGAGGAGGCTTTTATTGAACTTTAAGGAGCAGGACTGTTCTGGCGGGAGGACCAGGCTGGAGCCAGCAGGCTCCTAGGGGCATTTGGGGGTCAGGAGACCCAACTCACTCAGTTTGTCTACCTGTGTTTTGTCCTCCTGGAGTAAACAGCTTGGGCCTGACTGTCCCTAACTGTCTGGATCTTATGACCTAATTGCTTGAAAAATGGCCCCAGTTTTCAGATGGCACAGTTTTGTTGGTGCCAAGGGGATATGCTGGAGATCCTAGAGGATGCCTGGATGACACTGGCAGGAGCAGCATAAGTCCTTCCGAAGCCAGAGGCATTTTTAAATGGGTGGGAGGTGACCCTGGGTTAGAGAAGCTGCAAACATGACATGTCACTGAATTCAATTAGGTTAGGACACAGGGCAATGTGGCTGGCAGGGCCTGAGAGGACAGTGGCCCACCACAAACAACCCCACTCTGGCTGTGGCCCTGCCTGGGGACCCAGCCATAGGCCCCACTCCCTCTGGACTCCCGAAGGAACCCCTCAGCCCCCACCAGCACGGATCCTGGTATAGCCTATGCCTTATCAACTGCCAGAATGACAGTTACCCAGTTACAGGGACCCTGCTGTCCCTGGGACTTCTGGAGAAGCTCCCTAGGATGTGTGGGTCTGGCCCAAGCTTTAGTTGTTCTCTGGCTGATTCTTCAAGATGCAACCCCAGAAAAGGCCTCAGCCACCTGAATATGTCCACCCTGGGTCCAGGTCCCAGACCGTACAGGAGCCACGGTGGGTCTCAGAGCAGGCCCAAGACTCCACCCAGGAGAGGTGACAGGTATGTTTGTGGTGCAGAGTCTGCATCAATAAAGACAGGAGTCTGCATGATTAAGAAGCCTCTGTGGGCCCAGGGTGTTCCTTCTGAGGGGAACTTGTGTGAGCGTGATCCAGATCAGCCAGGTGATAGTGCCCACTGTCCCCACCCAGCTTCTGCCCCAGTACTCTGGTGGGTCTGAGTCCACAGTTCACCCTCTCCTCCTCCTGAATCCTTGGTCACCAATGTCAGGGACCTGAATATCATCTGGACTCCACTCTATCTCAGTTCCCATGTCCCATCTGTCCCTTCTGGAATCCCTGCATGGATCCAGGACTGTGTCACACTTCTCTGGCTTCATCAGCCTATAACCCCCACACAACGGCTGGAGGGACATCTCCCCAGCCATCTCCAGGCCTGCCCATCTCTATGACCCTGGTGCCCCTCTGGTCAAGCTTGCATCTCCCTCCCTCTGCCCTTTTCCTCAATTACCCTCTCAGCTTAGAAATCACCTTCCCTAAGTCATCTTGCCCAGGTGACTTAGGTACCGCCGCTGGGGGCTCCTATTCCCTTCAAGAGTGGTTCAGTCTCTGCAGTTCTGTGTCACAAATGCTTTGGGACATGTCCACCTCCCCAGCAGACCAGAAGTTTCTGGAAAGAAGGGGCTGACAAGGGCCCAAGAGCCCCAGGCTGGCACAGGCAGGTGCTCCAGAGATGAGGTGAGTGAGTGGGGGTTGATTCTCAATGCTTCTGGCCAGAGGGGAGGCAGTCATTTTCCTGACAGCCCCATGGTATGAGGGGGTTGTCTGTGTGGCATGTCAGTGGCCCAAGCATACCCACAAGGCCACCAACCCCAGGGCTGATGGTGCAGTGCAGATATCTAAAGATGAACCTAAGCTGGTGGCTCTGTCTGGTTCTGAAGAACACATTTCACAAGAGTTTTGCATTCTTCAGGGAAAATCAGTGTGAAGGGAATGCTGGAAGTTCACAGTGCGGGTGAGTCCAGGCAGACCACAGTGCAGAGCCAGCTCTGCACAGGGCCTCAGTAAAATCTGGGACCTGAGCTTGGGGTTCAGTGCTCAGAAGGGCTGGTGGGTGTCCAGAATCTTCCCACACCTGCCATCTGGCTTGGGAAACTCCAGTACGACTCATTCATTCTTTAATGTCCTAGTAATTTATGGCTGTGAGAGGGGTAGGCTCAGGCAATCAGCAGCCCTGGCCAGAGTGGGAACCGTGGAAGAAGACATGGAGCGGCCGATCTGGACCTCTGTCTCTGCTGCATCCATGGAGCCAGAAGCAGAACCTGTGGGTTCTGTTCCTATGGGAGCAACAGCGGGTGGGATGGGACCTCCTAAGGCTCTTCAGATACCAGTGATCCCTGCATCTGCCACCAAGATCCTAGGGGAGGGCCCAGGCCATACTCTTGGAGCCACCTAGGCATCACACCAAAGTCTAGGGGTACACCCACTCCCTAGTCACCTTCTGTTTTTCCTTTTCATTTCTTTCTTTCTTTCTTTCTTTCTTTCTTTCTTTCTTTCTTTCTTTCTTCTTTTGTACCAGAGATTGAACCCAGGGGCTCTTAACCCCTGAGCCACATCCCCAGCCCTTTTTATTTTGAGACAAGCTTTCATTAACTTGCTCCAGGCCTCCCTAAGTTGCTGAGGCTGGCTTTGAACTTGCAATCCTCCTGCATCAGCCTCCTGAGCCATTGAGACTATAGGCATGCACCGCCATGCCCAGCTTTCTCTCCTTATTTCTGGCTTGAAGTCACCAGTCTACACCATCCTCACCTGAGCTCCTGGCTCACCTGGGCACTATCCTCCTGTCCCAGTGTGCCAAATCATATTCTCTCTCTCCCTTTGGTGGCCCCATTGTCTTGAGGAATAAAGTCCAATCTTCCAATCTCTGTCTGAGGCCCCCTGTGCCCCTGCACCCACCTGACCCTCCCTGCTGCCATCCCAGGTCCTTCACAGCCACCCTGAGTCCACCACACAGGCCCCCTCACTGGCCTCCCTCCTCCTTCCTGCCCACTTCTGCACACCAACAGGAGTGACCAGGGCTATGCTCCTGCCTGAAACTCCCTGCCCCTCTCCTGTCCTCCTCTGTACTCTTTGGGCTCAGCTGATGTGCCTCCTCCTCAGGGGGGTCTTCCTTGACCCCATCCAAGGATGCCTGTAACCCCCAACCACTCCCCACACTGCTGCCATTCTGCCAGGAGCCAGAACTATTTACTACATGGGATTTTTTTCTGTGCTGTGAGCTCCATCAGGACCCATGTCTGTGGCTGGGCCCTGGCAGTAGCCTCCATGTTCAGGGAGGGAAAGAACAGTTGCAGAAATGACTGATGGAGGGATGAGTGCACCCTGCTCAAGGGGCAGGTGTGGTAGGTAGGGCTGCCCTCCTGGGGGCTCAGTCACCCTGCACCAGGGTCAGGCTTCACCCATAAGCAGCAGCATGGGCCGCGGGGCAGGCTGAGCCCTGGCTCTGATGACACTTTTGTAGAAAGGATCCGGGAGGAAGGAGTCTGCCCTCAAAGCAGCACAGGCCTGTGTCCCACATGGCGGCCAGAGCTCTGTTATGGTCAGAGGTGGATGCAGCTTCACTTCATCAAAGGGTTCCTGAGGGGAATTTCTCAAACCTTCCATCTTGTCATGTGGCTTGTCCCCAGTACTGGCTGATGGGGCTGGGGTCTGCTATTTGCTGGGACAAGGCTACTGGGGGTGAGGGGAGAGACTCCCTCTCAGCTGCTCTGTGTCCCTCTCATTCCTGCTGTGACCCCAGACACCCTTCTGGGCAAGTTCCCCCAGCCCTGCCCGCATAGGCAGGGGGTGGCCAGACCTGATCTTCCTGCCTCTCCTGGATTGGTCATGGGCATGTTTATGGTCCCCATTTAGGTGTGGGTGGGCCGGGGGGGCCCATCCTTTAAGAGGATGGCCACCTTGAATCTCCTGACCCTCCCTGCTGCCATTCACAGCTACCCAGAGGGCACCACAAAGGCCCCCTAACTGGCCTCCCTCCTGTGGTGCCCTGGACAGGAGGAGCCCACCTAGATGCTGCCTACCGGCCCTGCCCTGTGCAGGGCCCTGAATCTACACCCAGAAGCTGCTACTGCAGGAGAGGCAGAGGGGACTGCCACGGATGAGCTGGCTTCTAAAGCTCTGTGGTTAATTATTTCGTCTTGGGGAAATGAAAGGAGGGTAAACAAACAACACACATTAATTAGTCTGATCTATACTTTCCTCACGAAAGAGGCATGCTACAGTTAAACACGAGAGGCGCAACTTCTTAGAGAAAACTCGAGTCCTCAGAGGAGTGGCCATGGCAGGATGCGGCTTCCCCTGGCTGGTGCAGGACACAGGCAGGTCCTAACTGCATCCACGTGTCTCCTTTCTCTTGCCTGCTGCTTTGCAGCACTGGGCTGTGGTGGGTGGGCCAGGCCGAGGCTCTGTCTCTGGGTGAGGTGCTCCTTCCTTTCCTCCATGACCCAATTCTCTCTTCCTGGTCCTAGGGCTGGCAGTTTCACCCAGAGAAGTCACCATGGGCTCTAATGGTGCTGGAGACCCCTCGAAGTCCACATGTGCTGAGCTTCTGCAGTTCAACCTCTCAGACCCGATTGCTCTTTTAGGGTTCCTTTTGACAAATCCAACAGTCATCCCTGGATTCGTCCCCATTGCAAATCCTGGTGTGTGGCTTCTAGGGTTACCAGAAACCACACACCCTGCTCCACCACCATGGTCTCCAGAGCCAAGCTGGAGTCCTGAATACCTTCACATCCAAAGGGATGCTGGCAGGCTCCATGGTTACTCTTGGGCCTGGGAGCAGGGTGTGGGCAGGACTCATGGACGTTGACTTCTCTGTTCTAGAAATGGAGACTAATTCACTCCTCTCCCTGGGCTTTGCTGTTCAGTGCTCAGGAGTGGCTGACCTGAATGAAATCCTAGCACTGGTCATGACATGGGGCTGCAGCACCTACCTCTCAGGGCCACCATGAGGACTAGAAGTCAATTGGTGCTGTGGTCAGCCCTGCTTCCTTCCCTTACCCCTCTCCTCCTGAGGATAGTCCTCATGTGCTCAGTTTTCTCCCTCTGCACTGTTCTGGGAACTAGCTTGAACCCAACCATGGGACTTTTATTTTTTTGGTGTTGGAGATTGAACCAGGAGCACTTAAATACTGAGCTACATCCCCGCCTT